TAACTAATGGTACTAGTAAAAATCACCTTTATCAGTCTCAAATTCTTGATTGCACTGTGTTGCATTCATGACCATGTTCGTCGCTCTGATGTTATAAGCCTCAGTCTTGAAAATGTTTTGTTTGTCTTGATTTCTCCTTCACTTTTATACACCCCCCCCCTTTTTTTTTTTTCATTTTAATTGGTACATTTATAGCCTTAAGTCATCCTTGTGAAATGCATTTTGGTTACTCTTCAAGAGAAGAATTTGGAAATTATGCCAAAGGATCAATGATAATAAATCAGAAATTCTGCTTTTATGCCTGTTCCCTATAAATCTCAGATAAAATGGTCATAATCACCCAATACACTGGTAAACCTGGAGATTACTTGGATTGAAATCCTTGTCCTCCTGTGTTTGAAGATTCATTTAAGAGAATACTGAAACAAGGATTCTTGTAAGCAAGGGCACTACAAAGGCAAAGTAATTATGTTATCTTCAAAGCTATGCTGAGAAAAGTTTTGTTGCTTTTCATTATTTTCACTGCCATTCCAAGAGCCAAATTTTTTGTGAAATTTGTAGATTACAATCTTGAACAAACCACAGAGAACTCAAAAGTCACAAGTCAAATAAGTAGGAAAATCAATTCATTTAACTGAGGAAAATTGTATGAACAAGGAATCCTAACAGCATTTTTTCTTGCAATCTACCATCAACATATTGTATACTGACATAAAAATAGATTACAGTATCTCTAAAATTAAAAATGGAATTGTATGTGTATATATATATATATATATATTTCCCAAGACATTCTCATATTTTACAGAATTTGATCAATTCTCACCCTCTTGTATAACTATTGATGGAACAACAAATTATTCAGAAATAACTGATTAATATTAGAATCAGTTCCTGGTCTTATATTATCCATGGGTATGTTACTACTTTCTACTTTGTAACTGTATTTTCTTATTTATTAAATGTTTCCAGTCTTAGTCATATTTATGTATCAATCCCATCAGGAAACTCTAAACACTATTATTCTCTAGAACTGTATAATCTTGCATAAATATATGCATTGTAGCAATACTGTCACTGCATTGTCTCTGTTCTCATTCCTTTATTCTAGACAAATTTTAGGGCAATTTCTCATTTTGTGTTTTCAGACACATACTTTAAAAATAAAATTAAATATTCCAAATCATCTACATTAGAAGATGGGAAAAAACAATTAGTCTGCCAGAAAATGTATTTTCTTTCTCTTAACCAGTTGATGTGAAGTATTTATTTCTGTTCCATGTAAATTATCAGTATAACGCTGTAGGGATAAATGTGAGGGTTGTTTAAAAACACTATACCAGTGTTGCCTTTCAGTGGAAAAGTGTGTTATGGTATTTATTTATGTAGTACATACAGTAGTTCACCCGTACACCATTTTTTAAAATAGGGCAAGTGTGTTTATGGGTTATAAAATCACCAGCTGTTTACTGTGAAACCCTGCAACAAGTGCATTAAACAGATTTTTGGAAATGTGCATCTACAACTGAAGCTCTTTCATTTTAATGTCTATTTTTAAGTAGACTATGGCTTAGCATAGCACTTTCCATATTATAGTTTTTAGAACAGGAGCATGCCATTATACATATTAATCCATTTGTGCTCAAAGTAGGATTTTCCTGAAATATAATTAATTGTTGGCACAAGAGATCTGGGAATTAATATTTTTGTCATCCAGTTCCAGTTTTAGATTTAATACTTTATGATCTAAAAAATCTGCATTTGATGAAAAGAAGGTACAAAGGCTGGACTGGCTCACTTTTTCTGCAGCCTTGCCTTCCAGAGGTTAACTTCCTTAATAAGTATTTTTTATACGTGCTTCCCCCCCCCCTCCCCCCAAGATGGATCATGTCCCAAAGCCTGTACAGTTCACAGCTGTCAGAAACCTCCTAAATTAACAAATAAATGATCCTTCCCTTTCTGTGTAACACTGTGGTACTTTAAGGTCTGGCCTGTGCAAATTAGAAACAGTGGTCTGAGTTGTCCAGGTGTCAATCCAAGAAAGATGGAGTGGTTTAGGTGTACTAGTATTCACGTAGAAAACAGAGCCCTGAACTGTTAGGACAAAGTTAAGGTTGCAAAGACAGTCAGAGAGTTCCAAAGTGCTGGAATTTAACTTACATGACAAACTCTTTTAATATATTTCCATTAATGAAAAGCTGACTGTTGGGTTTAAAGTTTTCTCTATTTTCAAAGCACAAATTCTCTCACATGCAACCTTTCCAACTACTATATGATTCAGCACAGATGTTTGCTGCTCGAGCAGTGGGAGTAATAATGAGGAGCCTGCAAACAATGGTAGGTTGTAATCAAATGCAGACCAGCCATTTGACAGTGTTGAAATACTCTGCATGGATGGGTTTTTCAGCTATTTACTGACTGCAGGGGCGTATGGAGTCCTCAGTGGTATTTGAAACTATGAGTTGTTAGATGTACATGTTTAGTGGTTACAGAGCATAGAAAATTGACTTCTAAATCCCAGTTTCTGAAAATCTACATCAAAAACGTGCTTATCCATATAGATCAGCTGATAGGACATAGACTCGAAGATTTGAGGAACAAAAGGAAGTCAGGAGGTACCCAAAATGTGTATTTTTCTTAATTCAAATAACCAGACATTGGATCTAAGCTCCATGGTTGGAACATGTCACTTGTCCTCTAGTTTATGTGAAGTGTGAGGAATCTCTCAATACTAAAATGTATTCTGTAGAACATGTTCAAATGCTTATACTGAGACAAACTCCTACTGAACTTCAGAGGAAAACTTGTCTGTTTAAGGACAAGAAGCACTTGTAGAGACGAGCAACAACTGTACTTACAATATGGAAATCTAACATGAGTTCCCTAGAGCCGTTTGGAGAATTTTAATCCAGGGATGTGGTACACTATACATGTATGTATACTATATATACATGTCTATATAAAATATACAAATAAAAATGTATAGTACAGAGAGTTTTCTTGGCAGTGGGCTGCAAATTTCTGTATATTTTTCAAACAGTCACACTGCCCAGAATGTCCTGTTTAACTTCTGTCTCCTGACAGTACATTAAGTCACTGAATTAAAACTACCCAGTAAAACACCTCTGCAGCAGTGCTAGTAGTTTTTCATTCCTGGCTCATTGGTTTTTGTGGATAAAACAGTAATAGTTATTTGTCTTCTGAATCCAGCTGTCCAAGAAAAAAGGTTAAAACTGTCTGTTTAGCATAATCTTTTTATTTTTAATGGAAAAAAATAATTGTTCAGCTATAAATGTTCCAAAATTACAACCTCCCAGTTCTGTTTCTCCCAGTAAAGTAGATGTGACATCAGGTACTCAAACATGACATGCATTTATTCCATGCCTTAAAGCAAATAATTGAGCAGAATTTCAGAGAACAAACAGCTTAATACTAAGATTATGTTCTAGTTTAAACCAATGTTTAATGCATATATTATGTGAAGAGGCAGCTGAAATGAAAACAAACCTGGTTAGGTTCATCTTGTCCAGGAAAGCGTATCAAGAGGTCTTAATTACGCTAAAGAGAGCAGTATGACAGATTAACTCTGATGTTAACATAGTCATTACTACAAACTTACTGAAAGTTTCTTGTCAAGGGGCAGATACAGATATTAAGAGTATTTAACAAATGCAGAAGATGGAAATACTAATACTGATAAAACTCTGATAAATTTAGCATACGTACATCTCGGATTTGATGCCACAGTATCAATAAAATCTAATTTAAGTATCTGCTTAAGGTTGAGAAGGGTCTTTTCTTTTTTGAGTCAAGTCAAATACCAGAAACTAAAATTTCTAAAAAATAATTTTATATACTACTTGAGAAAAAAAACTGTTTCATATATGTTCTTATTAGGTCTCTTAAATGACAGCTGTTCTCACAACAGCCAAATAAAGCGCGTATTATGTTGTCATGTTGTGTGGTTTTAAAGTGAATAGGAGCAGTCATCTTCAAGGATGTGCTAGCATAATTGTATTTATATTTTAATCCATTTTTAATACTTGATCCAATTTACATTTGTTTATAGATATGTAAATTTACATTCTATAAACAAATATCACTAGGGCTAACTATAGTGCTGTAGGAATTGTACTGTATAAATGCTGAATGAATCATGACTCTATGTATGAACCTAAATGTTATAGTGGAAATATTCCTTATACAGTATGGAATCCAAACAGATGAAAGAAAACCTAAGAGTCTCTAAAGTTCTTATGTAGAATTCTTACAGATTCTGCATCTGTATGTACTGTGATAAGAACCCTCAGCAAAGTGGAAACTACTCTGAGGTATTATAAAAGGTAAACTGTACCCAGATTTGTTGCCATTACAAATGTGTGTGTGTGTGTGTTCCAAGGTACTTTACAGCTGCAGTGATGAATATTCCAGCATACAGAACCTTCATTCTTGCCCACTGTAGGTTCAGGCCTTCATTAAGTAATAACTTATCACATAACAAAGTCATATGTTGTGGATGTTAACTGATCTAGGATTTTCTCACAAGGTACCATTAGAAGAAACAAAATTAGGGGGTTTTCCCTCCTTAATGCCTCTAGGAGCCATTAAGCTTTGATTAACCTCATGCTCAAGATTTTCAGAAACACCTAAAAGCTCTCCCTGACAGACTTGTCAAGATAACGTTACCATTCCAAAGCCAAAGCCTTGGAGAATCAGGAAAAAGACACCCAAAAAATGTTATTTTCTGGGTGGGTCTAAGTGCTGTGGTCTGTCAGTGCAGTTATACTGTAGCGACCAGGGATAGAACATGGCTTAAGGAGTGCTTACACAGAGCGATAGTTTCATCAGGTTCAGGAACAATGAAGTCTTTTACTGAAACCTGTTCAGAGCACTGACAGATGACAGTACTCTGTTGTTTTACAGGTCACTGTCTGGGTACTTCATATTCTATGAAATAAGCAATAGTTGGGTCATGGAGAAAGAAGGTGCATGGTTACCTTGCCCTTGCCGCTGTAACTGAGGTCATGTGGATCTTACTGGAGGGAGGGTAGGGTTGTTCTTTCCTGGTGAGAACAGCATGCTCATTGGAAGAAGCTTCTGAAATGAAGGCAGAAGAACATCAGAAGGTGTGCAGTGGTGGTGGCTGAAAAGAACAAGAGTTTGACACAGAGCCCGTAATGTGATTAATTCATAGAAAATGCACTTGGAAGAGAGATAAGTGCTTTAAAAAGACCCACCTAGAACAGCATCAAGTATAAATTCAGCTCTGGTTTAAGAACTGTGGAAGAAGAAACTCTTTGTTTACCACTCAAGCAAAGACAGACTTGATAGGAAGCAGATCTACTCCAAATGTTATGAAGGTAACCTAATAGGTTATATTACTTAAATGTAAGTAAAGGCTTTGGTATAGGATTTGGAGAGAAAGCTGCTGTTGAAAAAATTCTGTGTCCTCTATGAGACTGTGCCCTGGTGGAGGCTTGTGCTTATCAAAATGCCAGGTTTTCTCTTTTTGAGTAAACAAAAATTCTGTTTATTGGTAGACCAAAGATGCTTTTTGCAGGCTAAGCAAACTTGACCAGAAAATCTTAGTTAAACAGCAATGGCTAGGTGGACCTAACACAGGTAGACTGTTAGCTGGTATGGAGAGGAAAATAGACATGATCTTCACCATTATTCTGTGCAGTAAAATGGGTTCAGAATTTCAGATAGTTGTTCTGACAAAGCTAAGGGAGTAACATGAGTTTTTGCCATACAGAAAATATTTTGCAACCTTGAGTTTTGTAGGCTATGCTACATCAATGCTTCCTCTAAATTTCCAGTTACTATACCTGAACTGAAATAGTTGACAGACAGATGAATCAACATTTATTAACTAAAGCCTACTTAAACTTCTATTTTTGTATTCATCTTCATATAGATTTCACTTGTTTCAGTTTTGACAAACACAGTTCAACACTTGAAAACCATAATATTTGCAGTGAAAGCAACACTGACAAACTGAACAAAAAAGGTATATCTGTCTTGGGAAAAGTTGATCTTGGACCAAAATTTACAGTATATACTGTCAGTTTATCAGGTCAGACCAGGTGGCAAGGCCATTAGGAAATCGATCTAAAAGAAGTCAAATAGAAGAATAAAAGCAGTAAGTGATGAATAGAACTGCAAACCACAGCAGACAAATAAGCAAAAGCATGAAACAAAGTCCTTACACTTTGTGATAAGACAATATCCCTGCAAGTAATACATTATTAGTCACAGAGTGGGATAGAATTTAGATATTCAGGGCCTCCTGCATTGAATATGTGAATCACAGTGACTGTGAATCTGTGCTTTACAGTAAGTTTCATGTAGAGCTGACAAGGAGGTCTCTAAATAGTACAGCATAAAGGGAAAGAGCAGATGAGAAACCATAATACAGATGAGTCTTTTTAGAGAGAGCAGAAAAATCACAGTAATCCATATTAGAGAGCATAATATGGATGCTACAGAGGATTGGAAAACACTGGGGAAATTTAATTCAACTACTTTTTGCTCCAGTAGAGAAATAATAGTGATTCATTATATTAATTTTTTTGACATATTAGGATGTTTAATGTTTAGGAAATGAGATTCAGTATCTCTAGATACTACTGTGAGTATTGTTTGGGCAGTCTATTCAGGTTTACCACCATGTTTAATGGCCAGATCCCAGAGATCACCGAGACGGTAACAGGTGTTGATCAGACCTTATATGCTTACAGTATAGTATCCCAGGTACAGGAGCATTTCATCTTAGCTAGAGTCTTTAGGGGGTCTTAGAATACAGATAACAAAACATCTTTAGCTACAGAAACGTAGTGAAATACAACTTTGTATTGGAATTGCAAGTATTAGACATATAAAAATCATTAAGTGATAAAGAAGCAAAGCATGTTAAATTACCAAGACTTATTAAAAAATACTAAGAGGCAAATACATTCATTCATACAGGTTTTAAACTGGTGGACAAGATTGTCAGTCAGCTTGAAATTACACAACATATTCAGAAATAAAATAGTGAGATGTTTATGCACTTTGGTAGATAACACTTGGCGTTTTAATTACCTAGAGAGATAGTTTCTATTATGATTATTAAAATTTTAATCTATCCATTTGCTATCTCAACATATTGTCTTGATTAGTTGATTTAATTAATTAAGATTACATTATATATATTTACAGTCTACAAACGCTGTTACACTCACACCTATGACTACTTTTCCTCTATGTTATTTTAAAAGAGGACATGAGAGATTATTTATTTAAAACTTCAGGATGCTTCTACCAGACTGACATGTTCAGCCTTATAAAATCTTTTCTAGCAAAAAAAAAACGCCAAAGCAGCATTGGTGATCTCTAGCTACAACTGGGATTCACATTTGAACAACTGGCTTGTCTTGGGTAGAATCCATCTCTTTGTTCATTAAAATTAATGCTCAGATGTGGTTTATGATCCTTTGGTTTTAGTTATGTACCACATACAAGAGTTTTCCTGTCATATAGAGGAAAGATACATTTTCCCAAGATTTTTCAGTATGTACATCAACAAAATTCTATTACTTGAACTGTACACAGATAGGTTTCCTAATACATCAGTAGAGCTCTGCCTAATTTTGCTTAACTTGTCAGGATTTTCTGAACTGTGGCATTGAATGGAGCATCATAAATATTGAAAGATACTGTTTATAAACACGTAGCCACTTCCAAGTGGAGTTTCACTTCAAACCAGATTGTTAACTGCATTATTCACATTTTGTCTGGATTCATACTAAAAAAGAAAAGTTGATTTGAACATTGACCAAACCAGGATTTTGCTATAACTAAATCACTGTTAGTCATGGAATAAATTTGCTTTGGGTATCATAAAAATGAATATAGACTTAAATTTCTTAAATTTTAAGTAATTTATTAAGTTTAGGTCCCAAGACAAAAGAATGCAGTGTGACTCAAGTAACTGCTCATGCAGCTCAATTTGAATCGTGAATTCTAAATATTTTCAGTGAAGAAATTTAAGTCAACTGGGTTAGAAGTTATGTCTACAAAAGATTCATCACACAATCAACAACATACTTTAGTAAAGGACTGGAATGTGTTTACAGGCATAATACTAAAAGGCTACCTTTGCTGAATACATATTTCTATTAATATTTAGTCCAAAGCTGCCTGTGAGCAGCTTGAGTGAAGATATTCCAATTAAGTTGTTAGCCTATAGGGGCTAGAAGTGGTTAATTTTGACCAGTCAGGTTTGGATATTCTGCATTGAAATCAATTTGACCCATACTTGTAGATACCTCATATTTAGTATTATTTTCTGTTGTCTTAGTTACATGCTGAGAGAGAAGAGCAAAAGGATAGATAAACATGTCAATAAAAGGAGACAAGTAAGCTATTATCCATCCCTTTGACTGTTTCCACAGAATAAAATAGGAATTAGTATTCCAGGCTTGTGACTCTACCTCTTGGCTCTTAGACTTTTAAATGCAGTTGCTAATAATCTCCATGCATTCATGCATGCTGACAGATATGCCACAACACTTTAATCAGCATTGGCTACAAGGCTAATAAAGGTTAGTAATAAAATAAAATTCTGTAGGGGCTCCCTCTTTACAGGCAATATCAAGCCCTATGAACTTTTAATGCCTACTCTGTCTATTTAGATAGTCATGGCTCAAAGCCTGTATTAAAAATAGCGAGGAATGCTTATTCTGAAGTGTTTGAAAATATTGCAAATTACACTGTAGTATTGGCTTACTCCAAACTAATCTTATCCCTTACTGACCTTTGCAGAAACACTTCTCTTTCATTTGGCAGCTTCATTTCCCTTCTTTCCTTCTGTCTTATTCCCCTGTCTTTTTACCTGTAGTTTATTTAGTCATCAGGAATTGGTGTGATGGGGCTGCTGCTTTTTAACAGGTAGCTGATAGGTTTGTTGTGTTCACCCAGAAGCAAATACCTATTTCTCATTCCATTTCCATTGCAGCTTCATTTTCATCTCAATATTGTATTCCTCAGGAGCTGCACAATACATTTCTTTTGAGGAAAGCAATGAATGTATTTACTCTTTGTTTTGCCTCTGTACAGGGTACTGTGGATTTTCCTGTCCTTTATTTCCCTTTACACTTCATAAAAAAGCTAAATTCATCAGGAAGCTAGAAATAAATGCAACAATGTGTCAAGAAATAAACATGTACACATGCATTTGCAATAAAGGTCTTTCATTAGCATTATTTATGAAAAATAGATAGAATACAGTACAATAGCAATGCAAAAATTAGTAATCCCAGTGAAAAGCTAAAATCTTCTTACAATGAAAGATGGATATATCTTGTATTCTTTAAGATCACCAAGCTTATATCAGGTCTAATTCTACCCTCATATTTGATATGTTTCCAGACTTCATAGTGGAAATTGGATCTTTTTACAGTCATGAAGAAAAAAGTGAATCTGGAGTAGTCTTGACAGAATGAGTGCATTTAACTATGGAACTGCTATTTCATTTCAAACCACATAAAATAATATACCCAGACACTGATCTGTACCATCCTGTTGTTTCACCACAGAGTCTTCACTCACAGGACCAGGAGACACTGAATTCTTGTTTCCAGGCTCCCATCCTAATCCAGCAGTCAATGGACTTTCCCATAAATCTGTGACAAAAGCAGTCTGGCATTGACATGCCCATTGCAACTCTTGGTTTTTAGGTAGGTTGTGAGTTTACAGATCATCTGTTTCATTCATCTGTAATGACATTATAATTGTATTCTGTGTGTAATTAATTCCAGTTGTTTTAGAGCCATTGACAGGACAGACAGTTTTACCCAGTGCTCCTCAAATCCTTATAATCCTGTAGGATATCTTTGTGTTATGCTCCAGGATATCTCCCGTTTCCATGGGCGAGCTATCCACGTTGTCAGAGTACTGGCTATACTGACTACCAGTGTGTTTTGAAAGGTCCTCTTTTACCAGTGGCCTGGACCCTACTCAGTGACATGGTTTAAGAAGCAGAGGCTCAGAGATGTTCTCCTATCAACATCCACAGCTTGACTGTATCAACTTCCATCCTCAATGATAACATTTAAATGCCTAGGAAACAGTGCTCCCAGAGAACAAATAGGTCTGTAAAAA